CAATCTCTCGGGCAACGCAGGTCACCTGACCATTTGTCACTGCGTAGGTGCCAGCTCTGCCAATCAATGTCAAGAACACCTTGCATGAAAACCAGAACTCAGGAGCTGAGTCAAGCAAAACACAAAACCTTTCTTAAACTCACTTCTGCTGGGATTCAAATCCATTGAGTGTCCCCATTTGATTCTGCTTCCCAAAGAAGAAACTGGACCACCAGTGGCCAGAGTCCTGTCGTGCCAGACCTGCCATGGAATTGGACATTGAACTTTTCTATTCCTTTACAAGCTAACCATATCTTATCAAATTTTTATGTGGATTTTGGGGTACTGACTGAGATGATAAACATCTTCAGATGATATACCTGGTGGGTGTGGAATGACCTCCCCAGTGTACTCCGAACTGCCACAGGAACTGTTGCTGGATGTAGATCCTATGCGCCCTGCAACATGAAGAAAAATGTATTACTAATATTGCATTTTATGGATCCTAAATTCAAGAAGAAGAATTAATTCACGTATAGATTATACTGTGAATGAAAAACATTTACTCACTTCGGTAGTAATCATGGGTGGCAATAAGGGAACCGCTGGATGGAATTGCTGCCATTTTCCCCGTCCTTAAAGTGTCAGCTGTGTGAAAGATGGAAAGACCTGTTTAAAAAAAGATTTACAGCAATAATGAGGACTAATGTGTCTGAGGACGACAGCTGCATGACATGACAACAACATGGCCTTTAAAATACTAGGGCAACTTGGAAAACATCTCAGGTAGGCAGATGCACGAACAATCTGTGCTGCAAGCCAAGCACCCTCAGATATTCAAAGAGGTTTTAACCATGTCTGGATCATACGCAAGGTGTCACCTACATTTTCCCAACAGGTCAAGATGTGAACATTAATCAGTGCATTCAGAGAAGAACAGAACCCTTTTGACATTTGAGACAAGAAGGATGAAGAGAATGTTCCACTGAAACTGAGCATGCATCCCTTCCTATTCTGTAGAGTGTGATGTGATGATACTTAACAGCTGTTACTTCAAGAATAATACTACCATATTCAACGACCCACTTGCTTAGAACAGCCATGACGCCACTGCAACATGCATACAGAATAGCTCATATTTCATGACGCATGACTATGAAAGTGCCTGGGTTTCCAAGGTTGTCTGCTTGCAGTTGCTTTGAGCATTTAAAAGATAGGAAAACTAATTATATATACATATATATATATATATATATATGTGACCTTCCTGATATTTCCAGGCTATAGATTATCCAAAAATCTAAATAAAGTCATGCACACAAAATAAGTGCATCTCCTTTCAACTGCACATTAAAAAAAAAAAAAAAAAAACAGAGACTGTTTAGTGCTAATCCCTGTATGAAAGTACATTGATAGCCTAATAGTGATTTGCCATAATATAATCCATGCTAATGGAACTGAATATGATCATTTCAAATAACATGACAGCATGCAGGAGGAATAGAAACGATCACACCATACTTGCCATTTTGTTTAACAATGTTTATTTGGTCATAGATAAAAAAAACAGCATGACATAAAAAGCAGCCGGTTTTTACTAAAAATAAAAAAATGGAGCCTCCGTCGCCTGCTTCTGCCCACGGTGACTCCTGGTTGAGAGGTGACAGGTGTGGAATTGGGTTGGGGTGGTTTATGAGGGGAGGGGGGATCCAGGTTCCTTCCCGGAGTCACTGCTCTCACTCATTTGTCTCTTCATCACAATCTCTCGGGCAACGCAGGTCACCTGACCATTTGTCACTGCGTAGGTGCCAGCTCTGCCAATCAATGTCAAGAACACCTTGCATGAAAACCAGAACTCAGGAGCTGAGTCAAGCAAATCCTTTCTTAAACTCACTTCTGCTGGGATTCAAATCCATTGAGTGTCCCCATTTGATTCTGCTTCCCAAAGAAGAAACTGGACCACCAGTGGCCAGAGTCCTGTCGTGCCAGACCTGCCATGGAATTGGACATTGAACTTTTCTATTCCTTTACAAGCTAACCATATCTTATCAAATTTTTATGTGGATTTTGGGGTACTGACTGAGATGATAAACATCTTCAGATGATATACCTGGTGGGTGTGGAATGACCTCCCCAGTGTACTCCGAACTGCCACAGGAACTGTTGCTGGATGTAGATCCTATGCGCCCTGCAACATGAAGAAAAATGTATTACTAATATTGCATTTTATGGATCCTAAATTCAAGAAGAAGAATTAATTCACGTATAGATTATACTGTGAATGAAAAACATTTACTCACTTCGGTAGTAATCATGGGTGGCAATAAGGGAACCGCTGGATGGAATTGCTGCCATTTTCCCCGTCCTTAAAGTGTCAGCTGTGTGAAAGATGGAAAGACCTGTTTAAAAAAAGATTTACAGCAATAATGAGGACTAATGTGTCTGAGGACGACAGCTGCATGACATGACAACAACATGGCCTTTAAAATACTAGGGCAACTTGGAAAACATCTCAGGTAGGCAGATGCACGAACAATCTGTGCTGCAAGCCAAGCACCCTCAGATATTCAAAGAGGTTTTAACCATGTCTGGATCATACGCAAGGTGTCACCTACATTTTCCCAACAGGTCAAGATGTGAACATTAATCAGTGCATTCAGAGAAGAACAGAACCCTTTTGACATTTGAGACAAGAAGGATGAAGAGAATGTTCCACTGAAACTGAGCATGCATCCCTTCCTATTCTGTAGAGTGTGATGTGATGATACTTAACAGCTGTTACTTCAAGAATAATACTACCATATTCAACGACCCACTTGCTTAGAACAGCCATGACGCCACTGCAACATGCATACAGAATAGCTCATATTTCATGACGCATGACTATGAAAGTGCCTGGGTTTCCAAGGTTGTCTGCTTGCAGTTGCTTTGAGCATTTAAAAGATAGGAAAACTAATTATATATACATATATATATATATATATATATGTGACCTTCCTGATATTTCCAGGCTATAGATTATCCAAAAATCTAAATAAAGTCATGCACACAAAATAAGTGCATCTCCTTTCAACTGCACATTAAAAAAAAAAAAAAAATTTAAAGGTAAGGTACGAATGTACAGCAATAATAAATAATATTGGCACACAGTGACTGAGTGATAGCACAATAATTAGTGTGTTAGTGTAGCTTTAGTTTCATATTAAGGACCTGCAGACATCAATGTCAGGTTCCAGATGGGAAGAGGGATTTACCACGTGACCTGGTTAATACCCTTCTGTGCTACATATAACAGACGAGACATTTAAGTCACACACGTGCTTTGAAAAACTGGCATGCGCTAAATGTTAAAAATACTAAGGGAAAAAATGTTATAGAAGTGTAAGTGCAAAAATACTAAGATACGCTGCCTTAAAGAAGGCTATGTCAAAATGTATGCTGTATCAGTTGCAACTAGGTGACTTCAAATGATTAAAACATGTTTTTCAGTTTATTCATTTGCATGACCTCAGAATTACTGATATTAATAGTTTAGTTGTAAATAAAACGTAAACAATGGTTTTCCTTTCTAAACTGCCTGTCCAAAAAATAACATAATGATAATGAACTATTTCTTAATTTCCTTACCTTTTATTTTTGGTGAGTGCTGATGTTGGTAATACACCAAAAGCAAGGCTTGGTCGGGTAAATGCTAGGCGACGGGGCCCATTTGTAGTGTGGTTCTTGGGTGAGACCCTCCAAGGTCTTTCGCTCCTTCGCTCCAAATTCTACAACACGTAGGGCGCATGGACTATTTATTACCTGAGTGACGATAAAGCCTCTCTCTCTCTCCTAGAGGGCGTGGCTTGGCAGCTTACTCGTCTCTGGCACACGCTGAGGCGTGGTTTGTTCGCTGGCATGATATTGTGGGCGTGGCTTGGTCACTGGCACGAGATTGTCAAAACAATGTTGTTTCAATAAAGTGAAGTGGGACGGGGTGTCCACGCTGCTAAACAACTCAAATCCACATGTTAACCATCCCATCAATCCAAACAAGGTCACATGCCTTGGAAGTTTGTTTTCTAAAGAAAAAAAAATTGTGACGGCAAATCTAATATCCAATACTGGAAGGAATGAATATGAATGAATAAATGAATGAATGAAAATCTTTACGTCCCAATCAGTTTGTTACAACTCTAATATCCAATACTGCGACGGACGGATGGATAAATAAATAAAATCAAACCTTTACGTCCCAATGTTTGATTTGTTGCAACTCTTAACTTAATACAATTTTAATAGAAACCCCAAATGAATATGGATGTTTGTCGCCACCTGCTGTCTGTTATAATTATTGACCATTTATTTTAAAGGTAACATCCATGATGTAATGCTGCATGAAATGGTTTATTCTAAAAGTAAGTATGTGCACGGACAGATCAAACCACAACATTCTCGTTAAATTCCTTGTCTTTAATAAACCCTGATCGTGTAGTACGTTACAACCACAAAGCATCAAACATGTATACAGTAGTTAGGTCAGTATGGTAACATTCTCTTCCAGATCATTGCATGGACAGTACTCCCCATCAGCACAAAGAATCAAAAGAAAAATAATAAACTGACCAAAAAAGAAATTAAAAACGTATCTTCCATCACCTTACAGTGAAATTTACCTTTTGCCCACCACAATATTTGATTAAATATTACAATCATTACATTTAATCTTACTCAGAAATATTAGTCTTGCATCTGATTAGTAATTAAATAATTTATAAACACCATCTTTTCACCAAATTCCTTTATGGTCATTGTTACACTACTGTACTCTGGGGGGGGGGGAATGCTCAATCTATGCCAGACACTGCAATGTAACATACAGGTAACCAAGGGGAAAATATCCAGACAAAAGTCTTTCTTTTTTTACTGAGAGAAAGAAAAACTACAAAGATATTCATTATGTGCCAAAAGAATAAGAATAATAATTTAACTAATTCTAAACTTTTTAAAGGTAACGAGAAGAAACGGTAGTATATTTTTTATTATGACCTGGATAACTGGCGAAAAACTCAAAACATACAAGACTATAAAATACATGTGAATAATTTAGAACACATCTGGGGCTCGAGTCATGTCACAAAGAAAGCTTTAGCACCTTTTGCCCTGAGTAACAAGCAGGGTAATAACCAGTGCAATATTCATTCTAGGAAGCATGTAACAATAATAAACAGTGGCCATGAAGCATGTTTAAGGACATTCTAAGTGTGAGTTGTGCAAACATTTCACCTCTTCATGCTGATAGTAACAGACCATTTACTACTGAAGTGTCAGAGAAGCCCTGTTGTTGGGAAAAAATTAAATATTACAATACATGTAAAGGTAATTTGATGCACAGAAGAAAACCTAACAGTCCCAGAAAGGGTCATCCAGTTTTTAACATTCTAATTTAAGAGGTTTTGTTTGTCTACAATGCATTTGCAAGGGTGACAGCCTTCAGTTGTTAAAATAATAATTATCTCTTTGCATGTTGGCATCTTAGTTTCTTAAAGCATTGCTTTCTGTCTGTACATTCATTTGAAGTTAACATAGCAGTGGAGAGACTGGAGTGTATTTGGGTACAGCGTTATAGAGAAATCACAGAGGTCAGTTCTAGGTCACGAGGTTGTGCTTCCTGCTCAGAAAGGTGTGTTGTTGCTGGTTGGTGAATGGTCACTCTCTCCATTTGATCGCCCCATTACTTTGTCCTTTGGAGGCAAAACACACAATGGAAGGAGTAATAAAATCATGAACAAAACATGAACATATATTAAATAACAGTTGTGCTAAAAGAAAAGGCTCAGTAAGAAATAAAATAGAAACCAATTAATGGAGAAAAAAAAAGCTCTAACCTTCATATTCTCCACCTTGTCCTCAAAGGTTTTAAAGCTTGGCGAGTTCCTGAGAAAATATATTAAAAATAATAATAATTAGTAACTAATCAAAACTAGCTAGATTTCCAAAATAGTTTGAGTTTTTTACATGCAACCTAAAATGTGAAGGAAAACGTTGAGACGAACAGACACCTTTAAGTCATATAAAGGAAAAAAAAAACCTTGTCTACCCGTTTAGGTGAAGCAGTGCTGACAGGGCTTAAACAGCCACACAAAGAGAAAAAGCATTTGCTTTCCATGCAGAAAAATAAAGCTGTATATGAAATAAATGTACCTACTATTAAACTGCTGAGGTCAAAATGCTGACCATGCCTTTGGTTCTACCTGATACTATCCGTCTTTTTGTACCTGATGTACCTCCATATTGCTTCTTGTGTAAATATGAAGTTATGACCCATTTTCTTTGTAAAGTGTATACAGATTAGTAGCAAATCGCTGACTATTCCATTAAAATTACAACAATATTAAATGTTACCATTAACAAGTATTACAATTTTTCTCAGCAAAGAAGTTGAATAAAAACAGATTTGTTCATCAGGTGAAAGACAGCGTTCAGACAGATATTAATGTGCAGAGGGGAATGGGCGAGAGAAGGGCTGGTACTTTACCTCATAGCTGGCATACTTAAAGAGTGATGCATGGAAAAGTTGCTACTGCGGAGAGTAGGTTGGAGACAGAGTGAGCAGGGAGAGTTAGCCGAGCAGACAGCGTTAGCCGAGCATAGAGCAGAGAAAGAGAGATTGTAGAGCACAATGAAAAACTCATTAAAGCAAACTTTAGACAGGATATTATATCTAACATCTCTATCATAGCTATAGTAATTTAAGGTCATATCAATATCGTATCAATGACAGCTTTAAAGGTAGATTCAGATACATCAATCGCTTCACAGGTACCAAAGAACGCTCTAGAAATCGTCATAGGTCCAGGAGACCTCAAAAAGAAGACGGCTGCCAACAGTGCAGGCTCTCGTATAGCTCTTACCCAGAGTTAGAGTACGGCAGAGCCCTGAGCAGCCCGAACGCAGCGGTGTGGAGAAAAACACAGCAATAAACAAAAGAACTGCTTCAAACCTCCATCAGAACATAATATTGACATAATACATACACAGGACAGGACAGGAGAGAGTAAAATAAAAAAGTAGAAACAAGCAGTGTGCAAATACAGGTTGTAAATCAGGATGTTAGTTGACGCTAATTTACACTACCATTTAAAAGTTTGGGGTCAGTAAGATGTTTCTATTAATTTAAAAGAAATGTAACACTTTTATTCGGCATAGATGCATGCAGCTCAACTGTTTTCAACACTGATCATAAAAACAATTCTTGAGCAAATCAGCATATTAGAATTATTTTTTAAGGCTCATAAAGAGCAATGGCTGCTGAAAATTCAGATTTGCCATTACAGGAATAAATTCCATTAAAACAAATTGAAATATTTCACAATTTGACAGTTTATACAGTATTTCTGATCAAATAAATGCAGCCTTGGTGGGTATAAGACTTTAAAAAAATCTTACCAACCCCAAACATTTGAACTGTGTACGTAACGTATCAGGTTAGTTAGTCAGAGAAGCAAAAACAAGGGTATACACGGGAAGCATAATCACGATTTGAGAAGCTATGCAAATTTACAACCTGTTTGTTTGGTGTCAAATCAGAGTAGAATGTCTCATTTTGATAAGCTCTGTTCTTTGACATGGTGTACAAAACAAGCTGCTTCACTGAAAAGCACCACAGAACTCACGCTACTGTAGCCATCTGGAGATTTCCCACCATACAAATACCTCATTATTACAGCTACTGACACTGTTGGCTATTAGTCCAGGTCTGAAGACAGATGCCTCGCTAATATATGTATTGAATCTGAATTTCTTTTACACATTTGAATTAGTACCACCGGTCCATTTCAATTTAATATTAAATAAAAACTAACCACAATTTCTTTTTAATGGTCTTATTGTGCATGATTAATCAGTGCACATTATTTCAAAGAAATAATTTTTCAGCTAAATCTGAAAGCTAAAAAGTCTCACCCTACATTTTCCTGAATATCCTTTTCACCTAAACGTCACATTACGACAGAACAGTATTGAAATATACTATAGAATAATATAGAATAGGACCGGAGCGAAAAGTGGATCTGGACTCGGTTTGCTTTAAAATACAACTTCGAACATGAAGTCACAAAACTAGCTTCAAACATACAGTGCATAGGAAAAACAACCATCGTACAAGGAATCAGAGGAATCAAAATAAGTTATAAAAAGAGAATTAAAAGTTTATGAGATGGGAGAAGAAGATGGGAGGTTGAGATAACTAGGAGAAAAGAAAACAGTGAGAGAAGGTATGCAGGGGAGGAATATTAAGTTCACCTCATCTCTCCAAATTGGTTTCTGATGGCGGAGCCCATCGAGGAGAATGCAGCTGATGTCATGTGACCTGCCTGAGACAGAGTCTCCTGAGTCCTCTTATAGCTACGGAGTAGAGAGAGAGAAGAATTTCTACTTTTAGCAGTTGTCAGTTATATTTTGAACACACCAGTTGGCATCAAACTACAGTAGCTGACAGCTCAGACAGAGGCAACTAAGAACCAAGACAGCAACATAAAACATCACTTTAAAGGTGAATGCATCAAGAACATGTCAACCTCAAATCTGCAATTGCCTGCTAACCTCCGCAAGTTATGGAGTTAATGTTATGGAAAAAACACAATAACATAAAAGCAACATAAAAGTAGTCTGTACAATGTGTTCACTGTATACACTACACACCGTTCAAAAGGTTGGGGTCGGTAAAATGTTTTTAAAAGACGTCTCTAATGCTCAGCAGGACTGCATTTATTTGATTAAGAATACAGTAAAAACAGAAACTTTGTGAAATGTACAATTTAAAATATATGTTCTCTATTTTAAAAAATGCAATTTATTTCTGTGATGGCAAAAGGGAATTACTCCAGTCTTCACACGATGTTTTAGAAATCATTCTAACATGCTGATTTGGTGCCCAACAAACATTTCTTATTATTATCAATGTTGAAAATAATTGTGCTGCTTAATATTTCCGTGAAAACAGTGATACGTTTTTCAAGATTCTTTGATGAATAGAAAGTTCAGAAGAACTGCATGTATTTAAAATATTAACTTTTTGTAACATTATAAATGTCTTTACTGTGACAATCCTTGCTGAATAAAAGGATTAATCTTAAAGACCCCAAACTTAATGCTAGTGTAAATTATAGCTAATGTATGGGTTCAGAAGGCTTGGAACTGCATACATTTTTTTGTAACCACAGAAAACAATGCATATGGGTTTGGGATGGCTGAATAAAGGCTGAATAAATAATGACAGACTCATCATATCTGGGTGAATTATTGATTTAAGAGAAGTAAAAGCTAACAGGACTAACTATCTAGACACCAGTCTGTTAATCTTTTTGCACCAGATGCTGCTGTCTGAATCTTATTGTACAGAATCTGCACCTGGATTGAACAAACATCATTGCCCTCGATTACACACACACTAAATACAATTGTGCAGACTCACAGACAACTGCACACTATTCATAAACACACAAACAGATGAACAAGCATGTAGCCCTCACACGGTCCTCTAATGACCTTAGGTAAGGCTAAGCCACTTTGCTTTGGGAAAATCCCATCATGTGTTCTCCAAGTCAGCTTTCTCAGCACATGCCCCAAGCACAAACATTACACCCTTCCCAAACTGCACAACCTGCCCTTTCTATGTAGTCTCAAGGTCTGAGATCAGACGATATCGCAGGGCACTGATATCTAATGATGAGACACATGTCTGACAATGGGGTTAAGCGTATAGTGGCTATAGATCTGGGTTGGTAACACCATTTATTTAGCTTACTATGCCCATAAGGAAGATGCCCTCCTAAAACATTCCTTATTAAAATGATTCTTTATTACAATCACCCAGATAATTTGTATCAGAGTAAAACCTTTATGTCCTTCCATTCTTTCTGATTTATGATCTAATCTGTTCGACATCAGAGGGGTCTAATGGGTCACACTATGACGCTTAGGAAACTTTGTGCTAGTTTCACTTAGAAGCTTGTTGTTTGGTTTCTTAAACCAAAGTGACATCAGTGCTGTTACAAGATTAAAGTCTCTCAAACAAGTGCTAAATGCTACTTTAATAGCCTATAATAACATTGCATGAAGTATCATCTTAACGTATTAACATACTTTACCAAGTGTAAATTAATTTTAAATTTTACTTATATAATATATTAGGCAACACTTTATTTTTCAGTGTTCTTGTCACATATGTTACATGTACTTAGTGTTGTAATAATAGTAAATTATGCATAATTACAAGCAACTAACCCTAAACCAAAAAGCCCTAATACTAACCCTAACCCTAGTAAGTGCATGTTGTTTATTAATATTACTTACTACTTAATTATATAATTACACTGTTACAAGGACACCTTAAAAAATTCAACATATTTTTATATGGCAGTTTGAAATATTTAACAAAACAAAACCCACAGAAAAATAAAACCCATATTGCAGGCACCCAATGCAGGCACATTTTGAACATTTAAAAATAAAATGTATTTAAATATAAAATGACAAATGACAACAACAAAAATCAAACTCACGCATCAGAGCGCCCAATTTCTTCAAGCGTGGATGAAGCTGTAAGGTATCTACAAACACACATTTCCACAGTATTAACAAATAATAATATACAAAAGTTCTGTTTAAATGCTGTGAACTTTGCACACTTAAACTTTTGGATGTCAAAATATTTTGACAGTAGACCTCAAATTGATGATAAATTTCTTAAAGGGCTAAGAAAGGGATGGTTCCTCACCAGAACACAAGTCTAAACTTTAAAGATGACATTACCAGAGTTTAGACACATTGATCTGAATGCAAATCACTTCAGACACATCCACCTAGGAATGTTGAAAAACTCACAAAACAGGTTTGACTTCTCTTTCAAGTACTTTGGCTTAGCTGTGTAAAACCCTGCCTAACACTATATGTGAGCTCTTTTTGTATATGCATCAATTTCACATTACTGAGCAATAATCTCAAAATATTCTGCTAAAGAGAATTAAAAACCTTCATGTTTCCATTCCTTTATTTATGCAATGAGGTCTGATAATTTAGGGAAGTTGTACAGAAATTTTATTTAAAAAAATTAAATTTGATTCGTGACTTTATTATATCTCTTAATTATTAATGATGTCGTTGTAAATTATCTTTCATTTTCTTTTATTTTTATTGACTGATTGATTAATTGAGAGCTGGCAAATTCCCGTTTATAGAAAGGGAACATAAAAACTAGGGGTGGAACGGTTCGCGGAAAAAAATTCGAACAGTACGGTTCTCCACACACGGTTCGGCACGCACTAGGACCGCGGTTCAACTTAAATCTGACAACGCATCTATCTGTAATATGGTTTGCTATAAATAACACGTAAAACAAACAGGGTTCGACTAATGTATGTTTCTGTTGATGGAAGCGCATTCTGGCTTCCCAACAGGCACGTGCAGAGGGGGGTGCGGTGGGTGCTTGAGCACCTGCCCCTTTTCCCCTTGATGCCCAAAGTGCCCTTTTGCAAAGGCAAATTTTTTTTTTGTAATTAAATGCCCTTTTGTGAAGGTCTGCCCAATCTAACTATTAGTAAAATTAATGAATAATAATTTATCCGTAAATAAAATTATCCACATGATGACCTTTCACCTGACGATCTGATCTGGGATGACGAGCCCTCACGTTCAGACACCTTTAATTTAGCGCACTACCAGGATGCCTTCATAACGTCCGCGGCTGCCGGTAAGTGGAGTTCTCAGCGGAGCGGTGTGCTTGTTTACTTATATTATTAAATTATTATTATTTTACAAGAATGACGCGAAGAGAGCATGCACAGCTGTTGTTTATATTGCTGTGTGTAGCCTGTGGAAATAACGTTAGCTGCAGCAAGGGGCTGTATTATTTTTGTTCAATATTTTCCTGATGACAATTTTATGATTGGTTTATAAAGGCTACTACAAACACATTTTTATCACAGAATAAGACAGGAAATATATTTTATAGTTTCTATACTAAATGATATGTCAATCAGTAGCTACTGCATTATTCATATAGTTTAATTATTTATTACCTGGAGATTACTTGAAAAACACACACAAACCATGTATATTCACAGTCGTGTGTTTATTGTCTTCATGTCATCAGTAAAAACCTTTCTGCTATTTATTCAGCTCAGCTACAGTGATAGCCTGATGCTTTTGTCTATATTAGGGGTTTCCTGCACCTCATAAGTTATTTCTTCTAGGAGTCTGTTTTAAACTTTCTGCGCGAGAGCGCCCTCTGGCTTCGAGTATGAATGAAACATGCACTCCTTATATTCACATCTCATTTTGGATAGGAATAAAACGTCAGGTCATGCATAGACTATTGATATTGTCTCTTTGAATTTAAATCCAGATTTAAATCTAGAAACATCTAAGTTAACACAACTGCCCGGGAAGGGAACGAATTTACATTTTACTAAAATGAAATATTTATTAAATATTAAAAATACACCTAAAGTAGTTCTACACAGCAGTATAAACAAAGGTGCCTGTTCTCTTTCGTTCTTGCTGTTTGATTGGGAAAGTTTTAAAGGGCGTCGAGGGATCTTGTCTTTTTATGTTATCTGACTAAAAACTATTCATTCATACTTTGAACTATTAGGCCTATTATTACAGTATTTATTTAAAAAACGTAGAGTGCATTAAAATAATGATCATAGCACTGATAAAACTGATTTTCTCATCCTACGAATTATACTTATCAATCCTGTTTTTATTATCATCATTCAAAACAACAATACAACAACAGTAGTGTTTACAACAGCAAAACCACCATACCCTGTAAACTAATACCATACCCTGTCATTTATTCCGTCATCATCCGTGTGCTGATAGCGCGCGTGCACAGGTGAGACCTGAACAGCACACGCTGATATCTGTGTTACATCTATTATATCTGTGTGATAACTAAATTCATTTAAGCTTTGCCAGTTTAAACATTTAAGATCCAGAGGACGCGAGCTCGCGCGCGCAGTGAGAAGATTTGTGCGTGCGCTGAATGCGCTCATCCGAAGCGCGCAAACCCACGCCTCAGAACGCGTGCAAATATTAAGCTCTCTCTGAAGTATTGTGTTTAAATGGACAAATTCACACAAAAATTATGTCAAAATGCCCGTCTTGGTAAGTATCCTATAGCAGACATAGCCGGCTGTACGTACTGGATCAGTGCATGCTCTTAAAGTGACAGTACTTAATATTAATCAAACAGCAACAACAAATAAATCATGCACTGCTCTTGATTGAATAGCTTTTGTAACTTTAATAAAGATTCATCTTTAATTTATAGTCAAAATAAAAACATTCATTTACTCGGGAGAGGATCATGGGAAGGGCTACAAAGAAGACAAATGAAATTGAAACAAGAGGGCAGCAGGTCCACACCTAGCAAACAGAATCACAAGACCAAGCAACAACAGGCAAAAGAGAGAAAACTCACAAATTAGATGAGGTAACTCTACGATTCAAGTCTCCAAGAGTTTGTGAGGTTCTCATATAACTAGAAGCAGAAATATAGATTAACAGAAAAAGTAATTTTTAAAAAGGGTTTAGCTGAGATGCTACAGTGAAAGAACACCGAAATTAGCGTCAAGAAAATAGGACGGTAGAGATATTAATTTGGTATATATAAATAACTTATATATACAATTTATACTTGTATGCATATACATTACATATTCAAATAAAAGAATAATAATTCCCCATCAGTGGGCACTGTTAAGAGATTCAAACAGCCCATGTATAAAAACACAGCACGAGATTAAAAAAGAAAGATGAAGGTTAAGGTGATGCTCAGTCAGAGTGGACAGGTTTAACAGACAGGAAGTACTCACGCATTGGAGCACTGAACTTCATGCCAGCCTTTGGTGAAGTTCTGTTTGATTTCAGAGAGGGGACTGATGCCAAGCCTACGCTTGAGCTCAGCGGCATGCCTCTCCTTCGCCACGAGAACCTGCCTCAGTGTCTGAATCTCATCCTCTACCTAACAAGAGAAAAACACAAGATAAAACTAAACAAATGCATAGAATTTAGATTAATTATAATAGATATTATATATGCTCTCATGTGATAAATTAAACCTCTCATAGTAAAGTTCTTCAGCAACAAAGATATTTCAGCCAAACAACTTTTAGCTATTGCTACTCTAGCACCATTTTTAGTCACAATGAAGGGCGTCCACAGATGCCAAAACAGTCAGAGAAGCACTAATTAAATGTCACTGTTTGAGCTGTTTCAGCTGCTGAAACAGTTCTACTCCGCCATAATTGAATCTGTCCTCTGCACTTCTATAACTGTCTGGTTCAGCTCAGCTACCAAATCTGACCTCAGAAGACTACAGAGGGTAGTCCGGACTGCTGAGCGAATCATTGGTACAACCCTCCCTTCTCTCCAAGAACTGTACTCATCCAGAGT